CGAGCAAATCAAATAATCCTCTATGAATACATCAAATATTATCCCCTCGACCAAATCAAGTAATATCCACGAACAAGTCAAATAATTTTTCACAAATATTCCAAATAATATTTTCTCGACCAAATCAAGCAATCGCCTCAATTTAGTCAAATAATTCTCCTCGGCTAAGGTAAATAATGCTCCACAAATAAGTTCAATAAGCGCTATGGATAAACCAAATAGGATCTCCTCGAATAAATCAAGTATATCCACAAATAAATTAAATATTGCTCCGTAAATAATATCTTTGCGAATAAACCAAGCATTTCCACGCAAAAATCATATAAATTATCCATGAATAAACCAAGTAGTATCTACTCGACCAAATCAAATGTCGCTCCACAAGTAAGACCAATTTTTCACCGTTTTCCATCAATCAAAAAATCCTCATGCCCATCATTTAAAGGAAATACATACCTCCACCACGAAAATTGTTTCTCAAATTTACCTCTCCATCCACGTTGAATTGTCCCGAAATGTTCTTGGGTTCAAACCGGGGCTGTTTTTACTCACTTGGCCGCATTTGAAAGAGTTTCACACGCAATGGGCCGCATAAAGGGCGCCAATAGGCCGCATTGCTTCGCTACTGGGCCACGCCATTGAGCTGGGAAGGGCTGCTGGGTAGTTTGGGCCTCTCACGGGCCGGATATGGGTCACAGGCGGGCTAGAAATGGGCCAGACGCGGGCTGGGTGCCTGTGAAGACACGGGCCAGGTCGGGCTTTTCACGGGCTGGAAGCAGTGCAGAACGCGGGCCGCACGCGGGCTGGACGCGGCCCGCGAAATCTTCCTCTCTATTTGAGCGAACTGGGCTGCGGGGCAGGGTGCTGGGCCTCTTCTCTTGGGCCGCAACATGGGCCGATCTGCGAGTGTCCTGGGCGGCAGATGGCATGGTCGTTCCTTGGGCCTTGTGACTGGGCTCCTTCCACATTGGGCCACGCCATCAAGAGCAGATCTTCTCCTAAGCTGCGAGCACAGCAGCAGCGGCTCGCCGAGCAGATGCCGTCAGAAAACGCCGTCGTTTCCGGCGAAAGAGGCTATCCGAAGGGGCGACTTGACGGCTAGAATTCAATGGTGTCGTCGGTTCGACGTGATTAGTCGACAATCGCCGGGAAAATAGAGGAAGAGGCTGGTTGTTGACCAAAAATGTCTAAGATCCAAAAACTTTGACCGTAAAATCAACGGTCCTCCTGATGGAATTTTTTCTTGAAACTTTAAGGGTAGAACAAGCTCTATGAGAGCTTCGCGATGGTGTACGAGTTTTTTAGATCGGATGACGATGGGCGGCGGCCGGCGGCGGAGGCGGAGGCGGCGGCGGCGCCCGGTAATGGTCGGTAGCTGGAGCTTCGCCTTGGTGAGGGGATTCCAGTGGTACTCTCAGATTTTCTATAGCCCTCCCGAATCATCGGGAAAACGCATTTGAGTGTTCAATTTTGACCATTTTTTCCCTAGATCTGAAATCTTTGACCGC